AAAAAAAAGGAAATTAATGTGCTTCCAAAAATTTGTATAAAGTATTAAATTTATTTGTACTCTTTATGGTTCACTTTTAGTCTCTAGACAATTTTAAAGAACAAGTACTGGATCTATGGAAAAATAAAGAAGTCGAACCCACCATGAAATTAATTGATATTCTCGATTACGGCACATTTTACCCAACGGTATGCCAAGTTTAAAGTTATATAAATTGCAATTACTTTACCTGTAACTTCTTGCTCAGTAGAAATATCGTTTATTAGATATGGTTCTTAAATCAATATTGTTACACATTTTATTCAGTGTATAAATTCATAACTTTTTTTATTATGTTTAAGACATGGATTAGAAATAGGATGGGAAGCGAAAGACTGATAGTAGCTTGGGGTTAATTAATATACATTATACAACGCCAAAGGTATGAYGATAAGAAATTTTTTAATCAACAAATTGATGATTCAATTAATTTATTTGCATCAAACAAAAGGAGATTGTCATTACTTTTTGAATAAAATAATAAAATATGATATAAATCATAAAATTGTTTTTTGTTTAAACTTTATTGTTTTTTCCTMAATATTAGAACTAATAGTGTAATTTTATATTAATTTAAATTAGTTTTGATTTAAAAAAAAATGTTTATGAAAGTATTATAAAATATGAGTAAATGAAAGATGTAGCGGTAAATCTTCCTATAAATATTTAGGTACTTATAATTTTTTTGCTTCCCTTGAGCTAAATTTCTGCGGGCGTCCCTGTGTCCTGTAGTTAGAAAGTGATTACTTGTCTTGTCATCTAAAAATTGTTGGACATATGTCGTATTTTATTTTATAAACAAATTATGTTAATTTCTTGTCAAGTGGCACTGCTGGGAGCCTTCCTTTTCTGTAATTAATGTTATTTTTTTTCGTTTTCTTTTTAAGTCACCACACTTACTTATTATACACTGTATGTATAGATTGTAAATACACWTTTATTTTCAATAAAAAAATAAAATAACCAAACAAAACAAATTATGTAAACTGAYAACTCAAAATTTGACTTGTGTTATCGAGTAGAACAGAGTGCTATATTATTACCACATCATGTCCATATTATATAGTTGATTAGAATCAACCAAATAAAACAAGTCTATCGCCTATGTACCTACAAAGAAATAAAGAATGCATGTTTAAACCAAAATATATATAAATTCCAAACCTTTGTAAGATTAAAAACAGTTACCTAAATAGAGGCTAGAGCTATATCATTATCTTACAACACATTAAATTTGTAATAAATAAATTATGAAGAATAAATATGCATTAAAATTTTAATATATATCTTATAATTYAAGGAAATTAGAGTAGTAAGCATTATATAGAATCCATAATTGATTATGGGATTTTTATATCATGGAGAGGTAAATACGCATTTCAATTCACTATAAGAACAAAATATAGACAGATTCATAATAAATGTTTAGGATAGTTGCATTACTGATTATAAAAGAGCGGATTTTTAAGTTATTATGTTTAATTTTTGTTTTATACAACTCAACAGTGGTAAATAATCTGAACAACTTATTCAATACAACATTTGTAGAAAAAAAATTTATTTTAAATATTAAAACATATTTTAAAAATTAAAGAATATTCTATAATAGTCTATACCTTTTTCATATTTAAGAAAATATTGTATAATTTGTTCTACACTTCATATGAAAAAAAAAATGTTTTTTAACTACAAATGATAATTGTTCTATAATTTATTTGTAATTTAATTTTTTAATTTGTTAGATTGTTTTAAATGTTTATATATTTTATAAGATAAAAGATATGTAATAWTTATTTTCAAGTTAATGAGTACATCATCGCAAGGTATGCAATAAATTGATGGTATATGTAAATGTTATAAATTAATAAAGTTAAATGTAAACACTATATATATTATATTTTGTATACTTAATATCTATTGTAATTTGTATCTAGCATATATTTTTAAATTAATTGAAGTAAAAACACATATTTTACCAGTTTTAAGATTACCTATTATAGAATATAAGGTTTTTTTAAAACATAATATGATAATCATATTTTAAGCTTTTAAGAACTTAATAAGCCACTATTTACTTATTAATTATTATATTAGTTATACGCATAGGGATGCAATGATTTTTTTCGCAGGGGAAGACCCACATTAAAAAGGTTTAAATCAATTACCAAAGATTCTTATACTAATGAATAAAATATAGTTAAGTATTATATCGTAAATTTTATAAAGTAACTAATTATATAATTCAATATGCAAATATAAAAATATTCTAATATATTAGTTTAGTATAGATATCAGATATCTATCCATTTATCAAAGAAAAAGCCAGAAGCCGCAGAAGGGGCCATTAAAGAAATTTTTTATGAGCCTATGAAATTAATATTTTAGGTATTGAATATTCATCAGTAATTAATAATTTCTTACAGAACTGTTTTTAATCTTTTCGTAATTCAAAAATGAAAAACCGCAAATACTTAAAATTTTCACCCAATATTTATATCAACAATTTTTATATAACCATACAATTTAAAAAATATTTTGATTGTTTTCGACTTAAGTAAAAGAATTTTTTTCTATAAATATCAATAAAAAATGTTTTTAAGTTAAAGAGTTTAAATATGTATAAGACATGGTTCTTCTTAAGCTTCTATAACAGTTCAAAAATATTAAAGATATATATTGAACATAAAATATAAAATGAATTTATATTTTATAGTAATATAGGCGGGCAGTATCTGTCAACATTTTATGTCAAATACAGTGCTTTCATATCATTTATTTCAAATTTAACACATCCATTACAATGACTCACATAAAATAATGTACAACAAAATGGTAACCACTTGCCTCACCTTTATTTTAAATTGAATTATCAATTATTTTGTCGAAAAATTCAATAAACCATTACTTATATTCTTTGAAATTTAGGGAATATAATCTAATCAAAAATGTATTGAATTTCAATGAATTATGAATACAATATTAATATATTTTATTTTAAGTTTATTCAAGATTAAATAAAGAAATAGTTTTAAAATAAAAAATAAAAAATATTAAATTTATGCTCAAATCAATTGTTTTTATACCAAAAACGGGCTCTAAAGTCATCTGAACAAGTCAAAAATGCTGCTGAATTTGGAGAATGCACTATTGAACGAATAGGTCCATTGTGTCCTGAAAAATAATTCACAATTAAAATATTTTGATAACACAAAATGCATTTGACAAAATGAATTACCAAGTGATAAAAGTTGTTGTCTAGAAGCATTCCTTGAATTCCATGTACACAAAGTGGTAGTAACTTCATCTGGAAACATGACATACTCCTCGGTATGGTTGAACAACGCTTGTGTATGGTGTTCTTGAATTCCTAATCAGAAACATTAATTATGTCAACATTTGGACAGATTAAAATGAAAAAAAAAACAATAGATTACCAGTGGTTCCAGCACCAGTATATGCAATCAGGCATCTACTAGCGGATAACTCCCAAAGTTTCACTGTAGAATCTTTACTTGATGATAATATGTACTACAAAAAATAATAAGAAATCATTTAATAAAAAGTTTATAAAAATAAAACTATAAACATTTTCACCTTTCCATTTCTTGAAAATGTCACAGAACATACTTGACTACCATTGTGTGCTTTTTCAAATGTGTTAACACATTTRTTAGACACAGCATCCCATAATTTAATTGAACCATCTCGACTAGATGACACAAAGTACTTGGCGCCTGGTTCAAACCTAATACCCGATAAATAATATATTTATAAATAATTTAAGCATTATATATATGATAATTTTTTTAATACTTTATTGATGTGACAGGACCAGTATGTTGTTGACTAGGAATTGCACTTACAAAACATTGAATAGTATTTATATCATAAAGTCTTATGATTGGGCTGTTGGTGCCAATTACCATAAAGTCTCCGAGAGGATGGAAACTYATGCATTTTATTGGTACCACATCCTATAATATCAAATAGTATATGGTTAATATAATTTATGATAAATAGAATAACTTGACAAATCATCATACGCTTATCATCTTGAATGCTTTCTTCACAGTTACTTTTGAATAATCAAAAAATTTAACATAACAATCTCRAGAGCCTRAAGCCAAAATTGGCTTGTTGGGATGGAACTCTAAACATGTCACTTCTTCCAAATGATCATACAAAGTTTGAATTACTGGATGTCCCTGTCCTTCTTGATTATCAGTACTACCAATATCATTTGCTTTAGCCAGAATTTTTTCAATATTCAAAATCTATAAATGTTATATTAATAAGTAATTCAATTTTATGTTGTAAAACAAAATGTATTACTTTGATTGACGTATCACTGCTTCCTGTTGTAATTAATTGTCCATTCGGACTAAAAGCACCAGCCTTACATGCACCTTTGTGGGTTGTTACATACACAGTTTCATAAAGCGATGGTTCAGGAGCAGTACAAATAACATTTGTATCAAATTCCAAATCTAATCAAATCATGTAAAGAATTTAACACTCAAATATATKAAGTGTATAAATTATTAAGCATACCAAGTCCCGGGCCAATTATCATTTGCAGAACTGGATTAAAGTCTGCTTGATCAGATTCTTTTAGTCCATCAATTTCATGTTGTAAACCTTTTGTCACTATACTCTTGAGTTGATCCGATGGAGAACAAGATGGATCAGCATTCACTTGGACAGCTAAATTCAAAGCCATTGATGTATGGCCATCATATAACAGTTGACTAAACAAAATCGAAATATGTGTAATTGCAAATACTATTTTTTTTCTTTTATTAGACCAAAATTATACATTACATGTTACTATAAAATACAACTTTACATGTTGACATATATGTCACTAAAACTAAGTTTTACAGATAACTATCTGTTTAAGTTACACAATATAAAGTTTATAATTACACAAATTAACTTAATAACCAATTTTTAACAATAAATTTAATATACTCAATATTCTTAGATTTTAACGTGGGATGATCAAGAATATTTTTTTATATTAAAAGGTAATAAGTTATACATAGATCAATAAACCTCTGACCAAATTGTTAATTTGTATACTTAATTCTAACATCATATACTCTGAATTCTCTTCTATTTTCACATTTATTTATAGATTATTTATAAATATCTACAATTGCAAAAAACTTATGGTTAACTCTAACTGGCAACATTTTTTATATTTATGATTTTATGATGACGACTCTTGTCTTTCTTTTTTGTCTAAACATATTTTTACCGCTGAGTTCTGTTGTACTATTAGAGGTCTTATCTGCAAATCTTTCCCAGATTATTAAACCATATTGCACTTATACAAAGTTTCATATACAGTACGCAAGACTTCTTTAAGTAGTATTTTATTAAAGGTATAAAATTTAAAAATCACTGTTCTCAAGCGTATATTACTGTATTATCAATATCCATCTCAAATTTGGATCAATAATAATACCTAGATATTTTATTTGTGTTACCCTTATTATTTCTTAACATTTGCAAGATTTGGAGTTATTACCATATTATGTTATTAATGTAAATTTAGGGGGTTGTAGATAAATAAAGCAATAAAATTAGTTTTTTTAATATTTAAGGTTAGTTTTTTACTATTTCACTCTTGAAATACTTTATTTAGGCCTACAGTATTTTTTTCTTTTATAGTTTCCCAAGAATTTCTCAAAAAAAGAAGATAACTATCAGCATAAGTAACTACTAATCCACCTATATTTGAATCACAAATAGTATTAATGTATAAAATAACCAAAATTGGTTCCAACACACTGCTTTGTGTGACTTTACAATCAATTTATTTTTACTACTTAACTCATTATTTATTGTAACTAACTATTTACTATTTTTCAGAGAGCGAGAGAACCAGGTTAGACTTTACCCATTTATTCCACATCTTGGAAAAATATTAATCAATTCCTTTACAGTCTACAGTATCGAATGCCTTAGTCAAAACCAAAGATATTGCTATGACTTTTTCATTACTATGGATTATATTTTAATAATATTAATATTTTACCTTATGATGAGCCTGTATAAATGATCTCTATTTTTAATAGACATTTCAGGTTTGACATTATTGACTTCACTCATCTTAAATGTCTATTGAACTGAATCTTATACAAAAATAATTAATAGGCAGTACCTAATTCAAGAAAATRCAATTGTTATTCAAATTTGTAATGTATAAATAATATTATATTAACTATTAAGTAAGGAAAGTTAGCAACACGTTCGACACAAAATATTATCTATTGTTTACCTTTCAGGTATAATATTCATTAGAACGGTGGAAGTTGCGGGACGCTAATAGTAACGGTCCCTAAATGTTGAAATATGATAACACAATCAGTTACTCGTAGGTCCAAAACTGAAAACCACGGACTAAGATATTATATAAGACTGGAAACGACATGGTTGGAGGGTTTGGGAAGATTGACCTAGAAATGTTATAGAACATTCGTTGTACAGGAGATCCCATAATAACAAACATCTAGTTCCATAAGTATCCACTAAGACAGCGCTAGTAATGTTAAAAAGAAAATACCTCCTCCACACCTCTTGTTCTATAACATTTCGTAACCATAATATTAATTTCGTGTCCAGTCCTGTGTATCTTAGTCCGTACTGAAAACAAGTAAATTACGTCTACAATAAATTATATTATTATTTTATTATCATGATTCATAGAACGATACAATAAGATATACAGTATATATATTTTAAGTTTTAATAACAGTTTTTTTATCACAAGTAATGGCATCACTGTAATGAGTGGTTGGTAAATTGAGAAATATTACACAACAAAATGTCCCCACTATTAATATAAGGTTTAACTATCCATACAAAAGTGACTGAAGGGGGAGGCTGTGAAATTTTTAAATTTCTCCTAAAATCCAAATATTGCCCCCCCCCCAAATTTTAATTACCATTATAATTTCTGATACTTAGGATCAATAAAAAAAAAAAATGTCTCCGGCCGTCTATATCAAATTAATGCATTGAAAACATGATTATCTTACAATAAAACTCGTGACTCTTTAATATAGCTTTTAAATTCAATGAAGTACAATGTTATAAGCATGAAGGTCTAAAAACGTTTTTTTCGATCGACTAAAACTACCATAATCAAGTAACCATAACCTAACCTAACCTAACCTAACCTAAATAATTATTTCTTTTTATTATACAAGTAAAATAATGATCTGTTGTTTACTTAAGGCCCCTGCAAAACCTATTCATTTTTCATCAAAATGACCTTAACGACTGATAAAAATTATGGACCTTTTAATCATTTGATATAAAAAATATAAAGATTTTTGATTTGATAAAGAAGTTAACTTTGCATCGGTCAGAGCATAAATTCAATATTTTTAATAGTTTAGTATATTTAGTATAAACATTTTAAAAATTGATTAAAAAATAAGTGTTAATTCTTGTTAAGAATGTGCTAAAATTGAAAAACTACTCCAACCTATGCAAAATAGTATTGTGTATGCATACAAATATATTCACATTTTTTAAACCGTACTTATGGAAGTACTTGAATTTTTGTCAGGCGTACACTATATTGCTATTTTACGTTCATAATTTTATCTTTAATATTTTTATCTAATGAATAAAATGTCATATGGCATGCGGGCGTGGGCACGTAATATATTATGACGTGGTCAATATTGGTGGGGAGTATACACACACCTATAATTATTTACTAAACACGCAAAGACGAGCCGTGGCCACAAGAAGTCAAGAAGCGAAAGAATTGCCTAGACACAAGGGGGCTTAATAAGGCCCCAGTCGAAGAAAATAGAGGTAATTTCAAATATTAGACCAAAAACCCAGATAAAACTGCAGGAATTAGGTGTAACATATTTCAATTTTTTAAATGTATTATAATTGACTAACATATTTACCAGGTGGCAGGTTTTAACAGAAATGATTTTTAATATAAAACAGATTTTTATTAATCGATATCAGAGGGTCAAAAATTTTGTTTTCGTTCCATGAACAGTGACTTTCGTATTCCATGCGGTCAGTCGCCACTGTCACCGCATCGAATTGATTGTCAAATAGGGATGGTAGAGATGGTTTAAAAATAAGGAATTCTAGGAATGTTCATTGTATTCATACAATGGAGTCCATGGACAATGGACTGGGATCGAAACGTGTTCAGTCGACTTCAAATGGAATATGAATAACAATAATGACGGGATTCCTGATGCTAACTATTAACGTATTGGCTCTATCAAACGTGTTCACGGATTTTTCATTTAAAATATCACTGCCTTATAGTGTATCATATTTTTAACTTGATCGTAGTTTAAAATAAAACATTGGTCTCACTGATAACTGTATAGTTTCCATTACACGCAGAGGCAGATCACGAAGAATTGGTGTAACGGAAGATATATTAAATGTAATTTTGAGAACCATTCTTTTTACCACCTACGCCACGGAGATGCTATTTCATAGATTTTAGTCCACGATGGCGTCATAATATCACTGTAGATACGTGTTTAGAGCTTAACAAGTGTAAATACTAGTTCTTTGTCAAAATTTGGATGAGAAAATATGGAAACTCGACGATTAGATTCGTGAAGCGTGAGTACATTTTATGAAAATTGTTACATTTAGTTAGGTTGAGGACAAAATCATCGATAGAATGCATATTGGCTCGGGAAGGTCAGGGCAAAGGGACTTTGGCCCGTCCTTTGGAAATGTTATGTATATGTATTTATTTATGAAATAAATAATTCATACATCTTAAAATGTTTAAATTTTAAATTTAAAAATTTTAAGATGTATGTTGATAATTGTTAATAATGTTATCAAATTGCATCTATATTGGTTTTAGGTAACTATAATCTATTATCTAGTTAGTAAGAATTTGTTCCCAAGCCTATTTACCTTACAACAGGTTATAATGTTATATGTGGGTTAGTTTATTCAGATTATTATCTAGACATTTTTAAAGTGAGGGATAAGGAATCAACAAATTCAAACATAATTATATAAGTATTATAGTGGAGAAACGCTCATTACTTCATGCATGTATCAGGTAAATACAAAAATACTCTATATGACATAAAATGTATTTGGTATTTATCTTTAATTTTTTTATTGAGCAAGCTATATTGACTTTAATAATTTTGTCATTAGCCTAGTATATCTTATTGTTTCAACATATAACATAATACTTTGAAACTATTAATTAAATCACTTAAAAAAGCTATTTATAATTGTAAAAAAAAATAATTTACCAACAGTTAATTTAATTAAATTGTTATTAATACCAATAAATTACATATTATGACCAAATTGTATGTAGCCTGTTGTAAAATAGTTATAATACCTAATACCTATTAAGGAACATTTAGAGAATAATATCTTTAAAAAACTTTGTATACAGCCTGTATTATTGAAACCAGATTAAACCGATTTAAAATTGTCATAGTATGATTCTTAGTTTTGTAAATAAAGTATAATGAAGTATTTTAAATAAACTTTGGGAGTATCTGTATTGAAATTCAAATATTAATTTTCAAATCCTTAAAAAAAAAAAAAAAAATTCAGTTTATATATAATATTATATTTTGATTTTTAACACACAAAATAAAAATATAAATTGGGAATAAACATAATAATATATTTGTTTAATCTGATTTATACTCAACTGATAGTCGAGCTGATAGTACTTTGACACATAAAACAGTTGAGCATTTTGGAGTTAAGCTAAATTATATGTTATATAAAATAAACGTAAAACATGAAAATCGGTTCACTTGATTTAAAAAGTAAAAAAAAATAAGTAGGTATTTAAAATGATCTGTATTCGTACTTGAATACTTTTAAACAGCATATTTTATAGAACTGAGTCTATATTCATCTAACATATTATGAGTAACTTCCTACGTTAATAATTAAAAGGTAGGTAATATCATAGTGGTTTTAAATTTTAATAATCTAACACTAATCACAATGTGATTATCTCATTTCAAATTTTCATTTATATTTATAGGAAATGGATCAAAGAGAGCAAATCAACCAAGAGCCTCTTGGCCTTAGTGATGAGGAATTTGTTCAAGAAGTTGTCGTTCAAGAATGCCCAGAGGTAGTCATTCTAAGTTTGGACATGGACTACTCTACTAATGTTGATACGTGAGTTTCGATTTCAATTTCAAATAAGTACCCTTGTTGTTGCTTGACGATGTCTAGCTATACTGTTGACAGAATGAATAATTTTTGTTCAGTAGTTTCACTAGTATTATCTCATTTGATCATCTATAATGAGTGTCAGCACGTCTTGTAAATCTACTAGCTTGATAAGCTTATAAGCTTATGGTCATTAATATCTGCAATTTGTAGACTACAAAAAATTAGTTAACTATAAAACTATACTAAAACTAATAATAAAAAATAATAAAAATAATAAAACAATTTCAGTAAAAGTAGCTTCATCTCACCCAACCCTTTTGCACCTCTAACTTTTATTTTTATAATATATAAATATTATTAAATGTATTGACACCCTTTTAGATATTACTAGTTATGACCATTTAATGTCAAACACTTAAAAGTTAATAGAGTATATAACAAACAATTGATTGTTAAAGATTTAAAATAAGATGTTTTTAAAAATGCAATATACATAGTAATGTTGAATATTAAATTAGGAAGATACGTGTATACAAATTATGTTAATTATTTCTTATTTTTGATTATTATATTTAAGTAGTTCAATGTTATAATAGTTATATTATAAATATTTATAAGTTAAATATACATTATAATTTATTTAGATGTCTTGATTAATTTATATTTCGATGAAGTTCAAAAGCTTTTAGTAGGTTGAGATTTATCCTTGGTCCTCGATCACACATCTTATAATTGAGTGCTTTTTTACAATTAGTCCACGAGCAATGTAAATTCTTTATTAGTCAGTTAGTTTATCTGAAGTTGATTATTATTTTATAATTGTAGCTGCCAATGTGAACTGTAAATTGCTAAAAAATTACTATATTATGCTTATAATGTTAAATTCAAGGTTGAGCAAGTTAGCTAATTATTTTAATTTGTTAAGTAAC